CGCGTGAGGCGGCGTGTGAGCCCGCGCCCGCCGTCAGCAAGCCCAGGCGCCCGCCGTCGGGCGGCGGCTCCAGAGCCCCCTGGCCTTCGGGCGTCTCAGTAAAACCCAACCGCTAGTTTTCAGGATTCGCCGGCCAACTGCAATGGCTGATCTCGGGGGCAGGGTGTTTTCCATCCACAAACCCCAAGGAAAAATGGGGGGTCGGGCCAGGGCACACGCACTGAACCCGACGTGGGTCTCGTGGCTCTGCATTCTCACTCGTGCCAGGGGCGCAGGCGCCACTGACTAGACCCACGACGGCGGGACACTAGGCCTGTGTGTCCCGGCGCGGGGGCGTGCTGCGAGGCCCCTCTGCGGCGGCTGCGGCTCCCCGGTCAGGGCGGGGAAGGGAGGCCAGCACGTGGTGGTAACCGCCAAGCTGGACCACTCAGCTTTATGCACGTCTGAAATGCTCCAGAGGGGAGAGGAGGAGGGGGAAGCCGGGAGCGGAGGCCGACAGGGGCCCCCTGGGCGCCCCCAGGCAGGCCTGCGCCCAGCCCCGCAGGACACGCACCGCAAAGATGAGGGCGATGTCAGTGGTCAGGGCCTGCACGCGGTGGAAGGAAGCGATGAGCGTGATGGGGAGGAAGCCGTCAGCGTCCATCTTCCGCCGCAGGAAGAAGTCTCGCTCCAGGTTGTCCACGCTGAAGTAGTACTCACTGCAGGAGCGGCGGCCGTCACTGCCCCCTCGGGGCTGGGCGGCACGGTGCCCGCAGGGCGCCCCTGCCCTCCGCCCCTGCCAGGCGGTCGCCAGGCCCAGCCCGCACCGCACCGGCTGCAGCTCCAGCCCCTTTAAAGCTCACACCCAGGGGGTCAGTCCCTCCTCCTAGGGCACCCCCAGACTGACAGGAGCACGCCCGGGAGGTCTCCCGCCTCGGAGGGCTGCGGCCACCGCCCAGGGAGGAGCCCCGCCTGAGCGCGGCGCCCCACTCACATCTGGCGCTTGATGTAGTCCTTCAGCAGCTCCTGGTCCACGCTGTAGAGCTCCGTGCTGCTGACGTTGTCGAAGTAGTAGGTGATGTTGTTCATGTACTTGGGGGTGCGAGGACCCTCCGCACCGTCGAACTTCCGGTAGCCGAACTGGTAGTCGAAGTGGGCTGCGGGGAAACCGCGCCATGAGGCGGAGCAGCGCTGCGGCTGCCGCCCCCGCCACGCTCCCTCGGACAGCCC